GGCTCAGGCACGGGAAACCTCCCTTTGTGCCGCCTGTAAACGCGCTGGATGCAGCCAAGCACCTTCCCCTTTGGTGGGTGTTTATGTGGTTTAAAACACAGGGCTTTCTCCACCTTACCCAGACACAGAGGAATAACCAGAGGGGGTGATCACTGTGCTGACTTCCAGCATTCCCAGTAAATCACAGCTGGGATCCAGGTGATGAAATGAACCCCAAACTACAGGAATTTGGTGCGTTATCCACACAGAGCAGAAGATGCCAGAGCACACTCTCTTCACCTCGGTCCTGGTGATGCTCTGCCCCCCATGAGACCACCCCATGGCTGGACCTACGTCAGGGTGACATGGCTGCATCGCTAACCACCCCTTACCTCCTTGCAGAGCAAAGCAGAGCAGCCAAAGACACGCACCTCCCTGATGCTAACTTCTTCAGGGAGGAAAAAGCCTCTCCATGTCTCCCTGGGGTCCTCCCAGCAAACATCTGCCACAACACGAGCTCGGCAAGGGAGGCGGGCATCAGCGAGATAGGACCAAGGTGTTGTAATTACCCTCAGTCGCCTGGGAAGTTATTCCCATGGGAAAGGAAAGCAGCAGAACCTATTTATAACTCTTTCCCATCGAGACGCAGATGGCCGGGGCTGACACGAGCTCCAGCAACAGGAGCGGGGCTGCTCCCCCTCTGCTTTCCCTGCAAACACACCTGGATCACGTTTGGCTCCATCCAACACTTAATGCAGGAACAGCCAGGGCCCATGTGGGTGTTGCTGGCACCATTGCTGGCTGCACAGCAAGGCAAGAGCTCCGGCTGCCCCTGCAGGTTAAACAGTCCCCCCGAGCGCTGCTCCTTGTCCTTCCCCTTCGCTATAAACCAGCCCATGGGAGCAGGGCAAACCACCCAGGGAGCGCTGGCAGCGGCAGAGCTGGGAGGAACAAAGGTGGTTTTGATCCCTCCTGCATGTGCGAGGCACCCGGGATGGGCAAGGAGCAAACGGGAGTGATGGGAGACCAAACGGGCAGCTCAGCTCAGTGCCAGCAGTGCCACAGGGCTGGGGTGGCAATGGGGACGTCAATGGGGAGGCAATGGGGACATGCTGTGAGGTGGCTCCCTGAGGAGCAGAAGGGGCCTCGGTGTGGTGGATAGAAATATGGAATGGTTTGGGTTGGAAGGGACCTTAAGATCATCCAGTTCCAACCCCTGGGCAGGGACACCTCCTACTAAACCATGGCACCCAAGCCCTGTCCAACCTGGCCTTGAACACCGCCAGGGATGGAGCATCCACAACTTCCCTGAGCAACCCATTCCAGTGCCTCACCACCCTCACAGTAAAGAACTCCTTCCTTATATCCAATCTGATCTTCTCCTGTTTCAGTCTGAGCCCCTCACCTCAGCTTGTGTCAGTTCCAGGTCTCAGGAAAGGTGATGTGGGCAGCTTGATGCTGGGAAAAAACCCATGGTGCCTCCACCAGCCTCCCCAGGACATGCTGCTTGCTGATCCCTGCATTGCTGCAAACACAGCTCCCGTATTTTATGTCCCCTCTGCCTTCCCTTGCTCAGTGGCTAGGAAGGATGACAAGCCACGGTTAAATACCACCTTAAACCCAGGTACAGCGGGGTCCTCCACTGCCACCCCACACAAGGGACGAAGGAGCTTGTGGCAGCCCTATGGCCCTCAGGGTGTTCAGATGTGAACAGCTGAGTGGATGCTCAGGAAATGCTGGTAGCTGCAGCACCAAAGGGAAGGTCACCAGCAAGGTGATGCAGAAGACTTGAGCTCCATAACATGAATGCTCAGGGCACAACATCCTGGCAAAGGACCGAATGTTGTTTTCCTGCTTGCATCCCAACATCCCAACAAAGATGCAGATTCCCAAGCAGCCCAGCTCACCCATCCTCTACTTAGGTGTAACCTCCCCACAGACCACCCTGCTTTCCCAGTTGTCATTCCCAAGGGATGGCTGATTTAACTGTAACGTCACCAGCATCCTCTGCAGCCCTCACTGTGCTGCCTGCAGCATCAGCCATCACCATCAGCCTTCCCAACCAGCAGCACTTGGTACCCAGCATCAAGCAGGCATAGACAAGGAAGGATGAAACACCCGTTGCATTTCCAGACAGGAAATCACTCCATCCCCAGGGAATCCCATCCCTAATTGTTTTGCATTAAGAGCTTCCAAATTCATGAGCATGATAACCAGAAAGAGGAGAAAAGCAATTAAATTAGCTCCAGGAGCCATGAAAAGCAGCCTTGCAACGCAGCAACGGGATGGGATGCGATGCCAGTTAGATGGTGCCACTCACACCAATGCCTATGCAAACCAAACTCATTTCACATGCGCCCACCGAAGCTGCTTCCCCAGCAGAGCCCATCACACTCCTTTGGAGTGCTTTGTGCCATATAATTTCCTTTCCAGTTACAACAGCCAGCAGTGACTCCCGGCTCTCTGTTTGTGTAAAGCTCTATCACATGCCGGATAACAGCCCAACAAGGAATTTATAAATACAGGCAGTAATTGTCACTCCAGCCATCTGTTAACATGGAGAGCCAGGCAGCGGCGCGGCGGAGGTGGAAACACAGGGAAAAGCATCGCAATGGTGCCATGGATGAGCATCCAACTGGGAGCCAGGGAGATGCCGTGATGCATGGGATCATCTGCGCTGTGATCACCAGCCATTGATCCCATGGCTCATCCTGTTCATCGTCCAGAAAACCTCCATGGTCCCGAAACAACACCAGACTTGCCAAGTTTCCCCATCCCACACCTTCTCTTGCCATGTGGGATGCAGTCATGGCTTTGGGATACAGCCATGCCACAGGGGGATGCCCACCCTCTGGGAGCCCCAGCCTGCTCCCCACATTGCTCCAAGCACCAGATGGACTTTTACCTTCACCCCACGGGTGCTGGGTGACGGGGATGCTCCTTCCAACAGGCAGGAAGCAGCCGGTAGAAGGTGATGCTCTGTGCGCCCCAGTGATCTTGATATGGCCCGGACACAGCCTAATGTTACAGGGATAGCCCTGCAAGCATTTACTGGTGCTTAATGCTTATTTAAAGCTACAACTACCAACATAAAGGGAGCCAGTGACGCATCGGGTTCATTTCCCCCTCCCTGGGTGCCGCCCCGCTGCCGACGTGCCCAAGAACCGCAATGGGAGCTCCGGAAGGGATTGCGTGCCAAAACGCAGCCCAGGGCAGGACTGGAAAGACCTGTTGCTGCTGCCGGAGCCACGAGGGCACGGGGCTGGGAGGGGAGGTGTGGCAGAAGCCAACGGAGCCTGTGCTACCGCCACCAGCACTTGGGAAAGGGTTGTTGGAGCAATGGAAGCAGGCAGGGGTGAATGGATGCATCCCATAGCCCAGAGTGTGAGCCCGAACACATTGCGGATCCTTGGGAGGCTGTGCCTGCGGATGGAATGCACTGATTTAATTCTGCCCTGGGTCTGCAGGGCCCTGACCCATGGCCAGTGCTCAAGGATTAACCCAGATCTGATATCCAGAGTCAATGGGATGACCTGATGCAGCCACTCTGGTGCCCTTGTCCCCGTCTCCCATTGCTTCAAATGAAGCACAAAGTGCTGACAAACCAACCAGGGAAAAAAGGGAAAAAAAAAAACCCAAAACACCCAGGAAATAGAGGAAAAAAACCCCAGAAACCAGCAAAAAAATCCGCAGAAAATAGGAAAAAAGCAGCAGGTTTATTTCTCCCTGACATCTAATAGTGTTTATCGCCCTCTGAGCAGCAGTTTCCCACTCCAAGAGCCAGCAGCAGGGCTGATCCTCCTCCAGGCTGGAAGCAGTTTAAAGCCTGGCATCTCCCCATCTCCCGCCCCCCATCACCAGTGAGAAGACCAAAAAGGTTCAAAAGGCACAAAACAGAAGGAAACGCCATGGGAAGCAACAGCCCTGGATGCTGGGGCCGGGCTGGCTCCTATAGAGTTCACTGCAAACCCTGCATCCCTGCTGCTCCCAGCTTCATCCCACAGGGTTCCTTGGGCTCTGTGGTTGTTTTCCAGCTCTGAGCTCATACAAAAGGTGCTGGGGCCACAGCAGAGCATCCAACCCACTGGATGAGGTAGTTACTAGGCAAGGGGGAGAGCTGCTGACAACTTGCAGGAGGCAAAAGGAGAAGTTAATGGTGCTGCAATTCCCACTGCCTCTGTCATTAGGAAACGAAAATGCATTCGAGCATCCTCACTCGAATGCGCAATGTAATTTGTTTCAAGTTTAATACCATTTTCTTTCCTGGAGATGGGCTGAAGCTGGGGAAAGTCTTTGGTTTTATCAGCCGTGCTTCAGGGCAGATGCAAGGAAAAGGAAAGGATTTGCAGAGTTTTATAAAGGGGAAAAACTCATTTAAACCTGTGCAGGGTGGCTGCTGCAAGAGGCAACCGGCCACTGAACTACTACAGACACTATCACCCCGAGCAGTGTGCTCATAAACCAGCTCAAATTAGCTCAGTGTTCAACATAGGTCTTTAATGGAGGGTGCGGGTTTTCTCCTTCCCACCAAACTAAAGCAGCCTGTTGCCACCATGCTCCTGCACGAGGCATTGGCATCGCATCACCTGAAAGCACCAGCTTTGGGGCAGAACAGGAGGAAAGGGGGATCCCGGTTTATCTGCGGTTTAATCCTCTCCTGTAGCCCTGGGCTTTGCACAGGGACGTTGGGATTTTCCCCAGCCTGGCTCATGCCGTTTCCTCCTTGGGGCCTCTTGTTTGTACAGGCGGCTGCAAACGTTTCCTCCTCCTGGCGCCACGGAACAACACTGCTTTAGGGGGGGGAGCATCCTGGAGCATCCGCATCCATGACCCACCCTGAGCTCACGAACCATTAAAGCATCGGATCTGCCCCCCTCCCAAAAACAAAGCAGCAGAGCTCCCCTACACCTTCTCCTTCTGGCTTTTAACCCAAGAGCACAGCGGGGCCACCAGCCTTGTGCTACGTAATATAAATCAGGTTTCCTGGCACTGCTGGGATAGAGAAATGATAAAATACAGACCTGGTGGTCCCACGGCAGCGGAATCGACAGGCTTTTTCTCTCCGGGTCTGGAACAAGGAAGAGATAAACCACGCTTGCTCCAGAGCACAGGCAAACAACCGCTTATCACCACGTTAGCAGCCTCAAGGCTATTGCACGGCTGCAGGAAAAGTATTATTCCTCCCTGCTCGCGGTAAAGTTTCTATTTTGGGCCCCTCCGTCACACAGAGCTGCTGCCTCAATCCATGCTGGGCTGGGAAAGCAGCCAGCCATGCAGCCCCCAGGGACCCCTGCAAAGCCCGTTTCCTCCAACGCTGCCAAACTCACCAGCAAAGGGATAAACTTTGGGTGAACCGGAGGTAGTTTTTTTGTTAGAGCGGCTGATTCCCGTCAGTTCGCCTTGGTTTGGGTGTTTTTGTGTTGTTTTTTTTTCACTTTAAGTGGTTTATTTCCTAGGAGATGTCCTCAATGCACCACCCTGCAGACGGCCCTGCGTGGCGTTGCCGTTGCCAGCACACATTTGCAGGGGGAGTTAAATCGGGGCGGTTGAAACGCATCCACCTGCAGATGCCGAAGGGCATCGGGTGCTGCGAGCCTGGGCTGGCTGTGGCAGGGAGGCAGCTCTGCCCTTGCTGCTGATGTCCTGGAGAGCAGGCATCGGTCTGGGGTCAGTTTGATGCTGTGGAGGGTCCAGCCTGGGATACCAGAGGGTTTGGGGTCGGTGCTGGTGCACTGAGGGATGCTCACCTGGCTCAGGGGGGAGATAGAATCACAGAATGGTTTGGGTTGGAAAGGACCTTAAGATCATCCAGTTCCAACCCCTGCCATGGGCAGGGATCCCTTCCATTGGAGGAGGTTGCTCCAAGCCCCAGTGTCCAACCTGGCCTTGAGCACTGCCAGGGATAGGGCAGCCACAGCTTCTCTGGGCACCCTATGCCAGCACCTCAGCATCCTCACAGGGAAGAGCTCCCTTACATTCAACCTGAACTTCCCCTGTTTCAGTTTGAACCCATCACCCCTTGTCCTACCACTACAGCCCCTGGTGAGGAGTCCCTCTCCAGCACGTTTAAGATACCCAAAGGGCAGCTGCAAAAAGCCAGACTTCGTGCTGGGCTTCCCAATGACACTTTGAGGGGTTCGGGGTGGAAAATGGGGAATTCTCCATCCTCGGAGGGGCAGAAGAAGCCGCAGCTGATCTGGCCCTGCAGGGTCTGCCAGGTCCTTCTGCCAACACATCTGTGACACTCCCCTCCCTGCACCACGTTTTCCTTGGCCGAAGAGAACAGATCCATTCATTTCATGTCTCTGCTGGTTCCACTTCCCAGATCTCATCAGCGAGCCTTGGTTGCGGAGCTGCTGCTGCGGTGCCCAAATCCAAACACTAAATACAGCAGGAAAAAAAAGACCGTTTTTTGATAATTACGTTCTGTAGGACGGTGGGATCTGTAATTGAGGGTGAAATTACATCCACGGTACATTTCAGAACTGAAAATAGCATAATAAATTAGCTCAGCTTTTTCCTGGTTGACTCAGCTAATCCTTCAGACGCCAACAGACAGATCTGATTGTATCGCCTCTCCTTAGGCTCAGTTAATACGAAGGCCAAGTCGTGGCAGCTGCAGAAGATATATACAGAGCTGCTGCCTGCAATATATAACCTGCCCTTGTTTCTGGATGCACCACGGCTCGGCAGCAGAGCTGAACAGAGGTCGCTCCTGCTCCTGTTTTGATTTATGAATATGGATCGTGTTGGTTAAGCCATTAGGAGCGGTGATGAAGCAATTCAGCGTACATCCTGAACTGCAGCTTGCCTTATTGGAAGCCCTGCTCTGCAGAACGTTCTCTGTGTCTTCCCCCTGCAACGCTATTCATGCAGGGAAGATTATATTAAGGCTTTGTCTGTAATGCTGTAATTCCACCTTGAGCCCTCTCAGATGTGAAACAACCCAGCCGCAGGCAGGGAAAGGGTTGCAAAAGGAGATTTGCACCCATGCAGGGTGGGAGAAGCCAAGATCCCACCCAAAGGGCTTAAGGAAAAGCATTAAATCAGCTCAGACCCCTGCCCCTGCTGTTTGTGGTGCTGCCACAATGCCTCCCATCCATCCCAAGGGGCTCAGGGATGCCCTGGGGTAGCTGGGGTAGGCAGACCCATCCCACTCTGTTCCATGGGCAGCGTTCCCATGGGAGCAGCCCTTCCATACCCCGTGGGAGCAAAGCACTCGAGAGCATAGTTACCATCATGGCCATGTCCTGCTGAGAGGCCGAGCATTGTTCCCCAGGGAAGCCGAAACCGGTTCTATCCCTCTTCTACGGCCTTTATTCCCAGGTCAGCACGTTCCAGCCCCACTCCACAGAGCTTTGTACCAATGTGGAGTAAAGAAACAGGCTGTGCCCGGCAGGCCCCACTGTGCAATTAGAGAAAACAAAGAGGGAGAGGGGAATTGTGCACACGGGGAGGGCCGGGGTGCAGCCCCTGCTGCCTGGTTCCCAGCTGCCTCCCGGCTCTCGGCCCTATTTTTCCTCATTGCTGCCCTTATCTGCTTGTTTTGGACAGGAGGAAGCTCCCCCCCCCGGCTGGTGATTGCCTCCAGCTGCCCTTGTGTCAGGCACCGTGCAGTAGAAGGCCAATTTGGCACCTTCTCCCTAACAAACCAGCACGAGCCAAGATGTGGTCGTGGATGAATCAAACGCGTTATCCATGTGGGAGCCTTTGGGAAGGGTCCCAGCGGGGGCAGGTTTCTCCTCTCTGCAGCAAGCAAGATGCTCAGAAAGGGGCACACATCATCTCCTCTTCTTCCTAGAGTGGCAGAAAATCACATTTTCACATTATTTATCCGAGCATCTCGCAGATCTCCTAAATGGAGCGGATCCATCCAGCATCATTTGCCAGCCATCCCCCTCCTCGTTTGTTTTTAATTAGCAGCAACATGCAGGGGGCTGAGCCAGGCAGCCCTAGCACTGCTGATGCAGTGACAGATAACAGGAGCTTGCCTTCTTCCAGCTGGGATTAAGGGATATCAGGCATTTGGCTGCAAATCACCCTCCTAATATGCTGGGAGCAAGGGTGAGATAAATGCAGTGGAGCAGGTAACAAGGTCAGTGCCAGAAGGACACTTGCTCTGGGCCTCAGGTATTACAGTAATGAGGGTTGAGGGACACAGGATCAAATGGAGCTCCATGAGAAGAGCAGCGACTGCAGGCACCAGGGTGAGCTGTGAGCCCTGCCCTCGTCCGTGACTAATTTGGGTTCCTGGAGGTGAGGAAAGGGATGAGAAGGTGAGAAAAGCCCCAGGGAGAAGCCAGCCGCAGAGAAGAGCATTTTCAAGAGAGGTGAGACGTGAGGGCTGACAGGGAGAGAACTCACACACAGATTTAAAGCAGCTGCATCCTCAATGGCTCCTTTTGAACACAAAACCTTCGCAGTGGCTGAGGTGGGTTTGGCAAGCGACAGACTGAAGGTGCTGATGGGAACCGGCTCACCTGGAACGCACGGGGAAGGGTGCATTGGTGGGTGAGCAGGAGGGATGCTCCAGCTTGCACTTCTCCCAGCCTGACCCCACGGCAGCCCATGGGCCCCAATGGGAGACCCAGCCACAATGGGAACATCGTTGTTGTCATTCTGGCTCCATCCAGTCTGGACCCTGCTTGCACTGGGGGTTGTTCCAGCAGCCTGGACTGATGGACAGTGAGGCAGAGCAGCCAGCAGGGAAGGAAGCACACTAAACAAGCTACTTGTTGAATAAACCAGAGAGAGACGATGCCTGGTGGCCACAGACTCCCATCACCCTCCCTTGCCCTTCACACCAGCGTTCTGGTTCATCCCATGCTGTGCTCCCAGAGAGGTCAGTGCTTCCTTAACCGGCTCAGCACTTCCCACTGGGTGTCAGTGGGAGAAAGCATTATCCCCACATCCCCCTGGACCACCATCCTCCAGGCGTGGAGGTTGGTAAAGCCAAGGTCCACGAGTCCCCCTGGGGCAGAAATGGAGACCGGTGGCAGAGCACCCTGAGGGTGCTGGGTCCCTGTGGGTGCCGGGTCCCTGTGGGTGCCCCCAGTGTCCCCATAGTAGGGTACGGATGCTCCGGGGGGTCCCCGGTCCCCTCGGTGCCCGGTCCCGGTTGCGCTGTCCCACGCGTGCCGGTGCCCAGTCTCTGGGCGCCCCCTGGCGGACGCGGAGCAGCATAGCCCAGCAGCGGCTGCAGCGCTTCCTGGAGCCAGGAGATTGGGATGGGGACCCTGGATTCAGGGGGGGTGATTCCCAAAGTGGGGTTCAATGGGGGCGATGTGACATTAAATCCTGGTCCCAAAAGCGCAGGACAGCACCTCGGTGATCCAGGAGCTGGCAGTGAGAGAGCCAGAGGGTGACAGCTCCAAGGAACAACAGAAATAGCTCAGGAGTCTTTAATAAGACACATAGAGCTTGGTACTAATTAACCTTTTGCACTGGGAAGAGGAGGAAAAAACAAAGCACTGCTGGGAAGTGGGGTGAGCAAAACACACGGCAAATTGCTCATCATCCTCCCTGCCTGTGCAGCAGGGAGAGAGGCAAAGAGGAGAGGGCACACCCTGGTTTGGTCAGCCAAACAGTCCCCCACATGGCTTGGAAACTGGGAATCAGCAGTGCTTGGAGCACAGAGTGAAGTGGGTAAAGTTCCTCCCTCTTCCCCTGGTCCCTGGACTCAGCATGGACACACAGCCCCCAAGGGTGATGGTGCGGGTCTGTCCCCTCCATCCCCTCCTGCAGAAGGGAAGGCAGATGCTGCTCCCTTCTCACAGGAAGCAAAGGGCTCAGGGTAAACCAAACGGCTGACAAGCACAGAACAGTAAGAAATTCAACCCTCCCAAGCTGCACTGAACGAAAGCCTTTGTTCCAGCCCATTCCCAAGGGAGCAGGGAGATCAGGCAGTGTGCAAGACAGTGTTTCACACAGCTCAAGGGTGCTGATGCCCTGGATAAGCTTACACAACATCTGGACCAAACACAGCTTGGCTTGCCAGGCTGGTTGGCATGAGAGTACAGCCCAGCCCAGCAGTGCTCATCTGAAAAGAGCCAAAAATAAAACCAGCATTGGGCAGAGAGGCAGAAGGACTGCATTGAGCGAGAATGGCAAAACTGATGCCACTTCCACACCCCATCCTTACCCCAGCGTAAGGTCTCCAGCTGCTGCCAGCAGTTGGACTCACAGGGAACTGGTTTTCAGCCACACACTTGCAGCACTGAGAACGGACACCTATCTTCCTTCCCTCCTGGCTGGAACCAACAGGCTCTATGTTAAGGCACCGAAGCCTTGCTGGTTTTAGAAACAAGCCAAGTAGCAAGAAGCAGCATCACCACAAATGGCAGCAGTGGCCTCTTTGGCAGAGTAGAGACACAGACCTAAGATGGGATGAGGATCCAGCTGCAAACACAGCCCCCAAGCCACCGTGGGGTGTGCCTATCTACCCAAAGAGGGAAAAACCTACCCTTGCATGGCCATAGTTCCTAAGCTAACAACTATGAGACAACCTCCTGCCTGTTTCACAGCTAAAAGCCCATAACTGGCCCTAACACTGAGGACTTCACCCCTAGCAGATGCAAAAAGCAGTTCATCCATCATCGAGCTGGGAGGAACAACCCACCTGCTGAGGAACATCTCATCCAGATCATGGGTATCTCCTTACCCCTTGGCCAGGGGCTGCAGCAAAGGTCGAATGAGGCTTAGCCCCGCTCCTCCCCAGAAGGTGTTAGGCTGCCCAGCACTGAACCTTCACATCTCCAAGTTTCCTTGGAAGGAGAGGGAAGGCTCCAAGCCAGCATTTGGGAGGTGCATGTGGTTGGTGTTCAGAAACGCTGCCACTTGAGAAACTACATTTGGGCTCCTCAAAGGCCAAACATATGGTCGGAGTTACTGCGTGTTACACCATTCTCCCTTGCTAAGGCTTGAACGACTGTGTGATTATATATAGAACACTTCACATAAAGGAGTGGGGTCAGATGTGCCTTTAGCACCACAAAATTAACTCGTGGCATTAGGGGAAAGCGGTGGTGGTAACAAAAACAAACAGGGGGGGAAAGGAGGTCGCACGTTCATTGCAAACTGCGCTTGAGGAGCTCTAAGTGTGCGCTCTGGCCTTGACTAACTGCCAGCACCAAGGCACAGCCGTTTCCAGATTAAAAATTCATGTGTAAACTTTGGTAGTTTAATGCCCCACGGCCAAGGTTTGCTCTTAAAAATAGTAATAACCCGCCAAGAAACTTACTGGCAGAGTTGGGTTGCAACGCTCGAAGCACAACATCTGCTCCAGTAAAGGCAGGCCCAGGCCATTCGCACAGAGCTGGGGACTCCAGCGTGCAACCCTGGCTTGGGATGAACAGTTCCTTCGTGGCAGCTGAACTTACACCCATTTCAAGATAGCCACTCTTCTGGAAAAGCAATGAAAGCAGCTCAGATCTGATGTGGGTGTGAATTTGAAGGAGTGTGTGGGAAACATGAACAAAGGAGTAAGGAATACAGACAGCTTAGCCAGATTCCATAAAGAAGGGGGCTTACACCATCACACTGTCTCCCCCTCACATTAGTTTTGTGTCAACTGATCCATTTCAGACCAAACCAAAGGAAGAATGAAGAAAGACCCCTTAAATTCAGGACTACCATGTGCTTCCATGCTTCAAAAAGAAGGAAAGAGAAATCTATGGTTTGGAGGGCAGAAAGACTTGGTCAAGGCTCAGTTCTGCCAGCCCCAGCATCTGCTGTTGGAAGGAGCCAGGTACTATGGGCACCCCTGGGTAGATGCAGGGGGAACAAGCATAAACAGGGACAAGAGAAGTTGGATTTTGCAGCATGAGGTGTGGGGGTGAGTGCCTCTCATCTTCAGGAAATCAGTTCAACTGCTCATCAATTATCCAAACGAGGGAAAATTAATTCTTAGGACATGGTGGAAGACAGACTGCTGCACATCAGGAGGCTGGAACTCACCGCCCACTTTCCTTTGGAATAACAGAGGAAGAAGAAGCAAACAGAAGTAAGTTCACAAAACTTTGCTTTTTATTATTTGAAACTGGAAAAGGCTCCTTGGGTAACAATGATCAGGTGTAAAAGTAACACACGCGTTTTGCTCAGCTTTCTGATAGCTGGGATGAAGTAGGCAAAGTGTTGCAAAGTCACATCTAGCTTTTATCCAGCTTGTTCATCTCAAAACCCACAAAGAGAAGGACAAGCAAAACAACTCGGACAGGTGAGTTGTTTAAACTACAGTTACCATGTTCCACAGGGATATCTGTGACACGAAACCATGGTGTTTCATATCAAATAGCCTTTCCGAAAGAAAAGCTCACCTTTTTCCTCTGCACTGTGCTCTACATGGAACATGGATCTGATGTTTCACCTTCATTTTTAAGAAGTATAGAGAGTTACATATACACAAAGCCTACAGGAGATGCCCAGATTAATCCACTGGTGTAATCTTGAAGTAGTTAAGTGCAAAACACACATGAAAACAGAAGATGTAGGATTATTAATCGATCAAAAAAAGTGCAGATTGCTTTAATTTAAGCTAATGAACACAGTTGATCTGAGTGCTTTTTCCCCCAAAATTAAAAATACTGCAATCCAAATAAAGAACAGAATCATAATTCAGCACACACACACACACACAAAAGGTCAGTGGCACTCACAGTTTGATAACTTATCCTCCTCTCCACCTCCCGATCACACCTCTCAATCTTTCACTGTCCAACTGGTAAGTTACGCTGTGTGCTTGGCCTGCAGTGAAGGCCAGCACATAATCCTTTGGCAGCTGAATGCAACAGAAAATGATTGGCCACGTGAGCAACCAGCTACAAGACAGAGTTAATATATTATCGTTTCCTAAACTAGCAAGTTGAGATTATACAACCCAGCTCCACACAACACCCAACACCCCCAGTAAGTTCCACTAGTTTAAGATCAATAGAAAGCAATAAAAAGTCACCCTTGTTTAAAAGTAAACATTGAGCCAGCTGCATTTTGTTTTTTTTCCTGGTAGCTTACAACTCCAAGCACACTTCCAACCTGAATTGGCTATATCCCCATTACAAGTTTCCTACCTCTCTGCCATCCAACCTCTGCTGTCCCATTCCAGAGTAGCCATGGCAGTACTGCACTGGTCACTGTTAGCAGGAAGCTGACAGCCAAAGTTACAAGTAATTCCGTCCTTTTTCCTTCTCCTCAGTAAAACAAAAAAGCCTGATGAGTCCACGTGGACTGCAGCGAGTCTCCTACAACGCCAACACCCAATCACAGCACTTTTATAGCTATGAAGTCAAGCCCAAGGCAAACAAACAGGCATGATGAGGATCTCTGATACTTTTGTTTTCCAGCTGGCCAAACCCATGGGTTTTGACAACTCCAAAAGCACACTCCAGGAGCACAACACAGCCCAAGTACGTAAGCCAGTCACTTGCATATTGTTCCTCAGCTAGAATTAAACCTAAGGTCTTGCTGTGGCAACTAGGGCAATGCTGCTCTGCAACCTAATTGCTAGCGTTTTAGTCCAAAAGGCTTCTGCCAAGAGTATTCCTACCCCTGATAAGCTGGTTTCCATCTTCCCCAGCACTTTCCACCCATCTGGGATCAAGAAATAAAGCAAACTATCCCCAAGGTTTTTCTACAGAGAGAACATGACAAGGACACATCAGCACCAGAAATTTATCACCATCTGCAAGGCACCACCACACATTATCCCTGTCAACAGCTCACAGAATTATCGCAGCAAGCTGGACAAGTAGGGAACAAACAGGGGATGCAAGGAGGTGGTAGAGCCCGTACCAAACATGAACAAGTACAGAAGTACAGGTCAGGCTGGACGGAGTCTTGGGTGACATGGTCTAGTGTGCAGTGTCCCTGTCCATGGCAGGGGGTTGGAACTGGATGGTCTTAAGGTCCTTTCCAATCCCAATTCTATGATTCTATGAAAACACTGTGCTGTTAGCACTGCTTCCACAGGTACCACAAGGGAAGGCAGGACCAGGGCTGCAGCCACATCCCCCTTTGGCTGATGCACAGATCCAAACCGCCTGCTGCCACATCTGGCTGCACTCCTCTTCATTCCCCTCTCCCAAGACTTTCAGAGCTGTCAGTTATCTGAAGGGGACCTACAAGGATGCTGGAGGGACACTCTTCATCAGGGACTGTAGAAACAGGGCAAGGGGGAATGAATGGGTTTAAGTTGAAACAGGGGAAGTTCAGGTTAGATATACCAGAGTTCTTCACTGTGAGGGTGGTGAGGCACTGGCACAGGTTGCCCAAAGAAGTGGTAAATGTTCCATCCCTGGCAGTGTTCAAGGCCAGGTTGGATGAGGCTTGGAGCAACTTGGTCTACTGGGAGGCACCCATGCCTATGGCAGGGGTTCAAACTGGATGATCTTAAGGTCCTTTTCAACCCAAACCATTCTATGATTCTATTCTGCTTTTCTCTGAAAACACTGATGTAGCCATGCACAAAGGAACCAGCAAAGGCACAAGAGCACCCAGAGCATTGATGCCAATCTCTCCAGATTCACCCTCTCAATAGCTTGCTTTGCCCTAAGTCACATTAGAGGGAATTTTCTTCTGATATGCCACAAAAGCCTGCCAGGCTTTGAGGAGCAGAAGGTGATAAGAGAAGGCAGAGGAGGTGTATTAATACAAAACTTGCTACTTTCACTGCCTTTGCTCTAGACAGAATAAAGCCACAGGGTATCAGCAGTTTTGCCTTTAATCAGGACTAGCACACTGACATTTTGAGGCCAATCAGGTATGCTATAAATAAAAAGATGCTACCACAGGGGCAAAGCTGAGCTGTGAGAAGTTCCTGCAAGAGGGAATCAGTCCTCTGCAAAGCCCTTCCCTCCAGTCATCCCAAGCAGGTCCCACCTTCAGAAAGGAGACCCTTACCACTGCCACTACGAAGGTTTGGAAGGAACAGGCTACAAGCAGAACAACTGTCTTAGTCTGGAGAACAGCAGATGGGCAACGCGTGCGAACAGCCAACCAACAGGTCCTCATCCAAGTGACAAAGCAGACCTGTATCCAGCACTGAGCAAAACACCAACTGCTACCATAGGTTTACAATCCCCAATGGACTCCTGGTATTAAGGGGACTTTAAGCTGCAGGTAACAACTACTAAAAACATCCTGTGATACATCAGTGGAGCATACCTACACCACCTTTATGCTCCGCTAACCCAACACAGCGGGTTACAGTGAGGAGAGTGGGTACAAAAGCAGTGTCTGTTCTTAGGAGACATTGAGGCAGGTCTCAGGCCATGTGCTCACAGTGCATTCAATGCAGTCTGGATTTTCACTCTTACTTTAAAAAACAAAAGTAAAAACTATTAAGTCAGTTACATACAACTTCAGGATTTTTATCTCTTTTGGGTGAGAGGGGACACTGAGGGAAGGAGGAATCCACAATGCAAATCTGAAGCTGAAGCAGAGCTGGTTCTAGGAACAAGCAATTGAAACAGCTGCCCAAGGGGACCTCTCTCATCCCTTGAGGCTGTTAAGGAGAACACAGTCAACATACTGGCTGCACCAGCCTAACAGCAAGCTCCAAGACAAAGTGGCCACCAGATGCCAAACAGACTCCTAATGTCTTTCGGTATCCCAGAAATCTGCTTTCATCAAGCTGGAAACCTGTGTCTGCAAGATTAAGCATTAAGATTATGCTTAAGAAGAGTTGTTCTTCTGCACACAGCTCAGAACCTGGCTCAGCAAAATGCTGAGCTGCCCAATTTTGCTTCAGCTCACCTTCCTGCCCATGCACCAAGGCTCAGAGAACTGCCACCCTTCCTCTATCCCAGCCTTACGTGGTGGGGTCAGATCCAAGTCAGCTCTGCTGATGACAACAGGAACACCTCTAACAGGCTGCTCAGAAACAACCTGCTTTTTATAGCTTGTTCACTAGAATGGTAATCGTACTTCACATCCTCACCTCTAACACTGAGGCAGGTTTTCCACTACCAACAAAGCAGTAGGAAACAAAGGAACAAGTGCCCCAAATCAACCTTCAAATTCCCATAGGTTTGTAAAACTATATTCAAGGAGACAGGAATTAATCCTGTGAGTGACGTGACCTTCTGCTCCAAATCTCTGCTGGAGACTCGGTTCTCACGCAGCTGGAGTGAACATTCAAGAGCCAGAAATGGCTAAAAGCCCTTGTGAAAGCAAGAATAAAAGCTGCTTGCAGTGAAATCAGGCTGTGACTGAAACTTCTCCACAGAAGGGGTCTGAATTTTCCCTTCCTGGACCAGGGGTTGAAGAAGCACAGCATCGATGGGTGGGACAAGGAAGAGCAGACACCACTGCACCTTGCTTGTGCAAATGGATGTTGTTACATACCTAACAGAAAACAAGTGTAAGCTAAACTTTTTTGACAATGATTACAGATCACCACTGATGAAGTACAGCACCAGCAAGAAAAGTGCGGCTGTTCTGCTACAGCATGATGCTGACCTGAATATGACAGATGCAGATAGCAATACTGCCCTTCATCTTGCTGTTATATCTCCTAATACATCCGTAGCAGGGCTGTTACTTGACCATAATGCCAGTATTGATGCCCAGAATAAGAAGGGATATACCCCGCTTATTCTTGCTGTCTCCAAACATCAGGAAGAGATAGAAGAATTTATTCTACTACAGACATGTACAGACCGTACACATGTAGAGACACATTTACAAACCAAGACCTGAAGAAGATACAAAGGCAGAGTTTTGTTAGACACAGATCTGTCTGGTAGCGGGAAGAGAAGAAACATGGAGCTTATCATCACAGCCAGAGAGCAACTGCAGCAAAGGATGTATTTTGCTTGTAACCAAGACGTTCCTTACTAACAGCTCTTTTCTCTCCCTATCATCTCTTTCTACACAGGATTAGTAACAGGTGCTGATGCAAGTGCTGATGATTTATAGCACAACTCACAGTCTGTACATTAGCACTGGCCAGAATTTTCCTGGATAAGACAGTCAATATGGAATCTGCTTCTCGGCCTGCAGAGACCTGGAAGGTAGGGTCTCATTTCCAGTGGAGCTCAGGTCTGCCATAGAGAATGCAGGTATCACAAACTAAGCCCAAGAGCTTTCTGTTGAAGCAGCAGCATCCACCTGACAGCACCAACTGTAAAACGTGCCAGAACAAGCCACTGCAATATTAGGAGGATCCCCCAACACTCCTTCAGACTTCACAGGGCAACCTGATATGAGAGTGACACCTGAAAGGAGTTACAACAGTAGCAGCGACACATCCTACCTTCTGCTGCCCATCACAGACAGCAGTCATCAGGCTGCAGCTGGGATTATTTCACAGTTGGTTTTCTTTTTTCTTCTTCCTTTACATTTTCAGACCCACTTTAAAGATCTGAGGTTAACCGTTCAGGTACAAAGCCAATCTGAATGCACCAGCATCTGCAATTTACACTCACTTCCAGTTCCATACCCAGCTGCTGTAAGAAGAATAATCTCCTTCATGCTCAGGGAGACACCCAGACTTGCAGCCCCAGGGACAGCACACCCATCAAGCTCCAGAATCCAGGGCAACACTACACACACTGTCATTTACAGTGGGAATCCTCCCCTTGCTGCCAAGCTGAGGGAAATTCTCAAAGGCAATCACCCACTGCAATGACTAAACCAAGGACTGCAGGTATTACACCAGCCTCTCTTAACAATGCTGCACCCAGAGAAAGGTTTCTGGAGAGGAGGATATGCTTTTTCAATGGTGACATTAAGCAGCCACCCAGTTTGCAGCTGGGGACTACACAGCTTTTCAGGACAGTAAAGCAAGTCTCCCAGGAGGACAGATCATCCTACAGTGTAGTGAAGGCTTTAAAGGAGTCCCCTCCTTGCAGAAGAGCTCTTTCCACAGGAGACTGCTAATGGTCAGAGCAGAGGGCTTGTGTCCATCCTGTCAATTAGATGTTCTTATGATCCAACTCTGACCTCAAGTTACTTTTGTTCCAATACATCCTTTTTCTGCAATAAGAAAGGTCTGTTTCCTCCTCTGCAGGATCCCTTCGGCTATACAAAGCTATGTTACAGACTGGGTAACAAGAACTGCTAGGGAGCAGTGTGGAGTGGCAGGGAGGAAAGGACAGTCATGGATATTTTAACCGGGATGTGTACATTTGGGGTAAAAAGGCTTCATTAAAAGTGCATGCTTTTCTTCAGAGGTACCAAGAGCAAGGAATCCCCATCTAAGCTCTGGCTGGGGGAGTGCAGCAGCCTTTGCAACCCCTAGCCCTGTCCACCACTACCCGTCAAGTAGCCAGTGACTGAATGTTCTTCAGCATTTCATCGAAAGCCTCACGGGAAGGTGCTTCAGCGTTCTGGAAGGCCACCTTGATCCGGCTGTAGAGACTGAAGGACTTGAGGTCCAGCCAGATGAATCCGAAGCGGTCGTCATCGAAGAGAACAAACACACCTGGTGTTCGCTCGGGGCTGGTGAAGCCGTGGCCAGCAATAAGCCCCGTCCCATAATAACTGCAAGAAGAACAGCAAAAAAATGGTGTGAGAACAGCCATAATTACCTAATATTTCATCAGAAAACAAAAAAACAAAAGTATGATCAAGCCTTTGTCAAACACACTGCCAGGTACTACAGAACAGCCAGTTTTATACTCGGCTCTTACCACACAGCTCGTAACACCGTTGATACCATTTTAAGTAAAGAAACTCTCCACTGCTTTTGGCTATCCTAACTAGCCCCTGCACACCAAGGCTGATTTTTTTGCTGTAATTCAGCCCAGTAATACATCTGAGATTTACTCCTGCAACTCAAGGATCAACCAAAGCCCAGACAATCCTCACAGAAAAGGCATGTTGAGAGAGTGACCATAAAGGCAAACCTCGTGATAAAACCTAGGGGAAGGGAGAGAAAGGATGATCTAAACAACAGGAAAGTCTAACCTGAGCTGGGGAGGAGTAAAGGTCAGCCTAACCAACAAGCAAGCAGCAGGTGGAGCAGGGTTTTACTCAAACACAACTCGGTTGTGACAGCAGGGATCTTCATGGATTAACCAGCTATAGGTAGGTTTTTCCATGAGCACAGATGTTTGGCTGAAGGTCACCTGCCTAAGCCTCAGCTTTTAGGCTTTTTTTCCATGCTTCATTTAGTATGCTGCTTCACTGACTCCAGGTCTCTTTCAACAAGGCTCTCTGCATACTTGTACTGATGTTTAGGGTGCTCAGCACCTTCCAGAGCTTGCCTCAAGGTATCAGAGGTCAGGGAAGGGTGGGAGAGAGCACTGTGTTCTGAAAGCCAAGGAACAGAAATGACACACAGAGGAATGGGGAGCTGCTTGAAAGGTCTTCAAATACAGAAACTGGGCAGCTCTGGAAAACAAAACACATACAAAAGAAGGGGAGTGGGTGAATTATGGGAGAGGTGCTTGCTTCAGAAGAAACACGATAAACATCTAACAAGGAAGGAGAATGGCAGATGACCGTGGTAAGAAAGAGAGGGAGCAAACAGCATGGAAGGTAGGGCAGCAGCAGCACAAAATCTGAGGACAAGGGGCTGGGAGATCCACATCCAAGTAACAGGCAAGCAAATAACAGAACACATCTCAAAGATACACCCTCCCCTTGTGTTTTGAAAAGTGCCTGGCATGACCAGGCTCTAAACCCACCACCCCCCATTACCAAATTCGGCAGGTCCGGGGGTAGTCTTCATTCCTCGATATGACTCCTATGGGCAGCACGAAGGGCTGGGAAGCTGGTGCCTTGTCCTGGGTTGACCCCTCCGCTCCTGCTGCAGTGTCTTCCCCCTCGGCACCTTCTCCTCCCAAGGGCTTTGCAGCAGGCTGGGAAGGGTCCTCTTCCTCCTGCCGGTGTTCCTGTTCCTGCTCTTCCCGACGCACCTGCTCCTGGACCTCCAGGACAATGCGAGAGAGCTCACTGAAATCACGAAGGTTCTCAATGTCAGGCAGGTGCAGAGGATGTGCCAGGTCAATCTCCACAGTCTGCTGTCCAGCCGGGATGTTGGGATCTCCCTACAGACAGAAAACAGCAGCTTGGCTGCATAGCTCAGACCAGTATCCTCCCCATGTCCACTATCCGACTTCTGCATAGTTCACCCTATTCTACAATCACCAATATGGCAACAAAAAAAAACAAACCTCTCTTGGACCTTGTTTGCTGCTCCCTGAGAGGTCTACATCATGCCTGCCTTTTGCCTCCCAGAAAGAGAATTTTAAAGTCAGGCTGTACTTGCAAGGGTGAAAGAAAGTCAAAGCTGCAACTGCATTTTGACAGAATCCCTCCCTGCAGAGAGGAAGGAGCTCACTAGCCTGGCCTTAGTGAAAAGCTGCCAACATTTAGTACCTAATCCTGAGATACACGTAAGCAATCTCCAGTGACCTGCTACCAGCTGCTCACAGAAAGCAGCTGGAAGGGAGAGGACAGGAAAAGGGAGCCAGGTGGCATCAGGAGAAACTTAGAACAGTATGTTTTAGCTGCTCTGCATGTGTTAAGATTCACCTGATGCATCAATCCCCACAAGCAACAGGATCCGGGGTGACAACAACCTTCCAAAGGCCTCTCCAATGGATCCATAACATCGAGAATACTTTAACAAACCTCTGAGAGAAAGACAAATGCACTCACAGTGATTTTAGTCCCCTTTGCTTTCTTCCCATGAAAGCTCAACATGACAATCTCCAGCCCATGGCTCCCATAGGTTCCTTTGAAGAGACCTGGCTTTATAAGGTCATCAGGGCTACTAGGAGGGAGGTAGATGCGTCGGTATGTCAGGCAGTTGCTGTGCAAAAACCAAAATGTTAGAGAGGTTAAGAGAGAATCCCTCAACATGAGGGATGTGTCTGCAGTCTGTTCCTCTGGACAGCTTTGGGATGTTGACAAGAGAGGTGGGCTCTGTGTTTTCCACAAAACGAACAAACTCAACAGACTTTGCTTTAGACCTATACAAGCATTCCCTCCCTTCACTTCTCTCTACCAGTACTCAGCCACCAGAAGGCTCCAGAAGGAAGATCACAGTAAACCTCTTCACTCCTTGCGATTTCCAGAGAACCCAAGAGTGAAGCATATTTAAACATTGGCTACAGTGAGACAGCTGCTATTATCATAGAAGCATATAATGGTTTGTTGTTGGAAGGGACCTTAAAGATCATTTAGTTCCAACTATTAGAACCTGGGAGTGACAGTTTAAAACCCACCAAGTTCTCCAGGACTGACTGATTTCTGCCTAGCACACTCCAAAGCACATACTGATTACTAATACGGATACTGAGCAGATATCTTCTTGAGACTGGGTATTTGCTCTGTCTCCAAACTGAACACAGCGAAATGACTAGAAAGCACTGTGCTTCACTGTGCCTTTGCACAGAACCTGCAGACACACAACACCCCTCTGGCTGTTAAAGCCCATTGCAAGCACCCGATCTTCAGAACAAATGATCCAATGTGGTCTCCGAGTTGCAGCAGCCTCAATTCCCAAAAAAAGCTGGTGACCTTACTCATATTGGCTGGTGTAGATGAACTTCATTAAAATGAGCTCTTGCATGTGTTCGTGGAAGATGTCTTCCAGAGTTCGACCCCACTCTTCCCGTAGCCATGTCCGGAACTCCTGCAGCACAAGAAGAGAAAATGGGGAAGATAAAGGCATTTAATTTGTGGCAGTGATGCACCTCAACATGACTTCAACTCATCAGCATGATTTACTGGCAGAGCCACAGAGAGAGCATATGCTCTGTCAGACAAGAGGATCATGGCTGAATTTGGTAACTAGCATGTGTTGCTACAGAGCTGCCTTGGAAATACACTTACCAAGTAATGGTAATGGTAACTGCCCTATACCTGCCAGACACCACACAACAGACATGTGCCACTTCAAATACATTACAGGTAGAACCAATATGCCCCCTCAGAATAAAAGCATACGCATCACCTGTTACTGCAAAGTAGCTGATCTACTACTTCCTTACATCCTGACTTACCTTGCGGTTGCTCATTTGTGTACCCATAAGACAACCCCTGTGCCCTATCACTGCATATTAAACATAGAAGGGGAAGCTTTTGAAAGGCACTGAAGATTTAGAAGGTTAAATCCTGATGCATCTAAATCCAAAGGGTGCTCTGAAAACATCTCCTAAAGTACTTTTACACCAGCTCTGACAAGTTAATACCCTACCATGAGTTACAAGTGATAACAGCTTACACTAAGATAGCAGCCTACCAAGTGATATTCCAAGCCTGCTTGCTTTATCTTCTAAAGCCAGATCCTCCAATTACCATAATGCCACACACATTTAACACAGTGCTTTGAAAGTATTAAAGCATTTCTCATCTGCTTCAGAACCAGAAAACACTTTAACTAAACCTTTCACCCAGCGGTTTCCCATTAGTAGACAGACATTCTAAAGCATTTGTTAGAAGCAACTCAAGTTTATCAGATTTGTCAAGTTTAACTAGCTGGCAGCAAACAGCACTACCTGGAACAGGTATTAGCTGAAGGTTTTCATCCTGACATTTATACCTGCACCTTAAAACACGTAGTTTGAGTCAGGAATCTACCTTGCTGGGTATAGCTGACAAACACACACACAGGATAAACAATTAAATGAAGCTTTCAATCCCTCAACCAAGATGATAAGCAGTAGAAGGGTGCCCCACTGACAAGCACGTATTCAAATGCAGCTGGTACTCTGTATTAGGCCTGTGTCTGATAGATCTTAATTACACAGACAGCAATACCATGAGATTAGTGTCTGGCAAGTGCTGCAGGACGTACAATGCATATTGCTGTCTTTGGATACTCCTGCTATCAAGCAGGAATGGTATCACAGCACAGGAAGGAAAAGTTGCTGGGGCTCCTCTGAGCACCTTGCTCAGAGAACTGCCTGAAGCGGCTTTTTGCTCAACAGGATGGACATTAACAGCCTGCTCCAACACCCTGATACACTGAGATTAAGGCATGGGGTCTCCACCCAGACATTCTGCAGGTGCAACACTCCTATATACTGGATCCTTAAATCATACCTTGGCAAGTACCGAAGAGGTTCCCCAAGATCCTGCTATTATTCAAACATGGCCACTTTAAGTTTTGGTTCAAGTCACAGACTGATTCTACTCACTTAAAAAAGATCTAGTAAATCAGCCAGAAGCTACCAGCCTGGGTTTTCATGTATGTTCCATGAATGTTCAGATGCACAGAAGTGAGAAGGCAGAAGACCACCCCTCTGACCCCAACACTAGCTAAGAGCTTCGGTAAGACAGAAATGCTTTATCTTTAGAAAGGGAACATACAAAGAGCTCTAATGCAGACTCTTGGCAAAGGACTCGTACCTCTTGTCTTCCCCCTGACATCCGATGGTGGTCTGTCTGGTTGCATTTCGTGGAGAACTCATCCTTCTTTACAATCTGGAGTTACCATGGAAGAGAATTTAACAGGTTACAAATCTGTTTAGAGATGCTTAGGATGATGTAACTAAGACTGCTGAGAGTAAACGCTTGCCACAACAAACATTACTGAATTTACTACAACAGAGAAATCATTAAGTGATACCAAGTACATCAGCTACAGAAATGAGAAATAAAAGCAATAAAACCCTAACGCATTCTAATGAAAGATAATAGGTTTAAGTTGCCTCTCTATTTGAGCTTCCCTCTTCAAAAGAAAAGGAAACGAGCTCTCAGGAACCTTTGCAAAGCATCCAATGTACTGAATGGATGCTACATCACCTTCTCAAGGTCTCATCTTAAGAGAGAGCTGTAAAACAGTACAGGTGTGTACGTCTGCTTGGACACATTCACCAACCAACTGCACAAGGACTTGTTACATGTCCTTTCCCCCAGCCTGTACAAATACTGGTGCTCCTGCACTCCCACCATGCTCCATCCCAACAGAAGACAGTGTAACAGCCTTGCTGTACTACTGCCAGTGAACAAATTCAGAGTGGGGAACAGCCCACACAACTTGCCAGACACATAATGAGCATAAAGCTGGCATCCACACACACAACAAGGTGGTGAATGCCACATCCCTTAAATCAAATTCTGATGCAGTTTTTTGATGAATCCGTTTCTAGAGCCAATGTGCATCATCGAAAGAGGTGAAGGAGGAGCAAGCTGAAGGAGGTGATCCTGCCCCTCTACTCTGCTCTCGTGAGTCCTCACTTGGAGTACTGTGTGCAGTTCCAGTGTCCTCAACATAAAAAGGACATGGAACTGTTGGAACAAGTCCAGAGGAGGGCCATGAGGATGATCAGGGGCTGGAGCACCTCCTGTATAGGGACAGGCTGAGAAAGTTGGGGCTGTTCAGCCTGGAGAAGAGAAGGCTGCGTGGAGACCTCATAGCAGTTTCCATTATCTGAAGGGGGGCTATAGGGATGCTGGGGATGGACTCTTCATCAGGGACTGTAGTGACAGGACAAGGGGTGATGGGTTAAAACTTAAACAGGGGAAGTTTAGATTGGATATAAGGAGGAAATTCTTTCCTGTTAGGGTGGTGAGGCACTGGAATGGGTTGCCAAGGGAAGCAGTGAATGCTCCATCCCTGGCAGTGTTCAAGGCCAGGTTGGACAGAGCCTTGGGTGACATGGTTTAGTGTGAGGTGTCCCTGCCCATGGCAGGGCGGTTGGAACCGGATGATCTCAAGGTCCTTTCCAACCCTAACTATTCTATGATTCTATGATCACACATAGTATGGATGATGCTGAAAGTGCCAGAGGAACTCACCTGGATATGGCCATTATGAGGTCCCTTATGACCATACATACACTCAACTGTTGCAGCCTTCCTCTCCATGAGATGAATCCTGAAGAGAGGTTTGAACCTCATTGGATCATCAACATGAGGGTCATGAGGTGGCAAGTACATCCACCCTATGATGAACAAACCATCTACCTGCAGAGGGGTGAGAGAAAAAGCACATGAGATCATCTCTGCATGTTTGATTAGTATGCAGCTAACAAATCTGGGGCCTATTCTGCAACAGGGTGGGAGCTGTGGAACAGCTTGCTGCATTTCCAAACTGCCTTCCAGCAATTAAACCAGACCATATGCACTCACAGCACACCCCTGGTGAAGAGGGAGAAGGTTTGTTTACCAGGCTTCCTGAACCACTGGAAAATGATCAGGCCTTTATTACTGCAAACGACTTTGTGAGGGATGCTTGGTGTGCAGGATCCAGAGGGAGAGGCTGCACTGAAGAGACCACACAGCTAGTCAAACTGTAATTGGTTTGAGAGCTCATGCTGGCAGATACTCAAGCAGACGAATTCTGATTCTCATGATTATCCGTGTCTTTTGGACAAGGAATTATTTGGCTCCATTACTCATAGACAGCACAGGAAGCAACAATCTCCTCTGCTGAGAGGTTCAAGTGCCAGCCCTCTTCCTGCACGCCTAACAGAATCCATCCCCTCTAGCCCAACAGTTCCAGAGAAAGGATATTTTCCAAAGAGAGATCTGAGACAAAAGAGGAGCAGCACCACAGAGGCACTCTTGTCTTTATAAGGTCACAATATCATGTAAGTATTGGTGCACTTGGATGCACTCTTCTACTAGTTCATGGAATAGAATCTCGCAAAACCCAAAGGTCTTGTGATTTGTTACACTTCAACCTGTCAGCTATTGAACCCTGGTGCAAAGAACAAGGGCCTCAGGCAGGCTTCTGGCCCAGCTCTTACCAGTAGAGTCAAATGTTGTTCATTAACTACTCTTCCCAGCAGCAAAAGAGCTACCAGGCTCCACAGGTCTTGCACGAGTCATGCCCCTGTATCATAACATCTGATGCCTTAGTCTTAGACATGGCTGGTGAAAGAAGGGAAGGAAACGTGCATGAACACAAGTGCAAAACCCTTTGCAACATGATCAGCTGCAGGCAAAGATAATGCAGTAAGTGATGGGCCAGTGCCAAAACCTCTGCTGTACCCCACACACAAGGAATGGACTTCTGTGCCAGTTACTGGAATAACAGCACTGAACTCTGAATAAAGCCTTTCCCTGAAACACTGCTCATGTTTTCTGTGTGCTCCTGTGGCTGTTTGGAGTATAGCTGAAACACAAAAGGACTCCCTGTGGAAAGGTGGTGACGATGAAGAGGTCAAGAAGCAACCTCTGGGTCCCAATCACTTGCTTCAGGGCTGACTATTCAGAGTCCCCACAGCTCAGAGGTGACAACCAGGTCTAGAAAGCTGTATACAAAAGACTCATGAGTCCTCAACATCACAGCCCCCAGAATGAGGTACTCACTCACCACCACGTTCAGCAGTCCCCCATAGGGCCCAATGTCCGGCTGCCATAACCCCAGGATGTGTCGGTATCGGTGCAGCACTAGGGAACAGTGAGACACTGGAGTGAGCACATCACATTAAGGAATTGGGATTTGGGGGGAAAGAAAATAAAAGACTGCTACCAGACCGCACGCAACACCGCCCAATACCACCCACAACTGCCTTTACTAATGAAAACTGGTTACTTCCAACCACAGCCAGGCAGTTCTGAACTGAGGCCTCCCACAGGCTCACACGGATTTACACTGTTCCCTGCAGCCCTGCTCCTGGTCTGGTGCAGGAGTTTAAACAAACAGAAACCTCACCAGGAATTCACAGAAAACATGGTCCCATCAATGCAAATCATATTATCACAGCTAAAAACAAATAAAGTATCTGCTGTCTCCAAAACATGTTCTTGATGCCACAGGCTGCAAAGCTACAGAAAACAAGAAAGAACAGGGGAATATGAATATTTTGAAAGCATTTCTTTGCTTTATCTAGGCAAACTTGTCTCCAGAGTTCAGCATCCTTAAAAACAGCCAGCAAAGCGTGCAGACCATGCCAGCTTGGGAGATCTGGTGGTGTTACCATGTCAGTAATGGCCTTAAAAAAATCTAAGCAGGTACATTTCAGCACTGCCCAAAAGCTGCTTCAATGTCACCCTCAAAGCCTACTGCAGCAGGTGAGGCTTTCTCTGTCATCTCAGAGATAGGTGCGCTTTCAATCCCACCAAAAAAGGACAAGTAGGAATATTATCAGCAAGCAGGAGACAACAGTCTTAATAAATCTCCAGTCCTTATACAGTCAGCCATTAATTCTGTCCATGGCATCGCCTGACATGATCAGTACAATCTGACATTTTGGTCAGAATCAGGATGCAAATTTCTGTGTAGGTGGCAAGAAGATACTACCCTTGCCTTAAAATGATGCTCCTGGCCAACTCAGAAGGTCACAATAACCCATTTAACTTACAGGACTGGCTTGAAGAACAGATTCTGCTTTGCATCAATTTATAGGAAGAATTGTGTTTCGGTGCAGTTGCTATAACAACTTTGTTTCATTTACCACCAAAGATAACAAGAATTATAAGAATGGATTTATTACACCAAAGCAGAGAACTTCCACAAAGGTTTAGGACAGCAGGGAGGGTTGTCCAGAGCTGCTGCCAACTGGCCTGGAGGAGCCTTTTTCCTGTGCAGTAAACAACTTAAGATTGATAGCCTGGATGACCCAGAGAACCAAGTGCAGCACAAACAGCACTGAGGCAAGCAAGCAAACCACATTCCCAGTTTTCTCATCTCAGTGTGGTAATGTCACATTAATAAAGGCTCTGAGCATAAGCTGCACCACCCAGCACAGTCTGCCTTCTACCCTGTCTGGCATGGAGCTGATAAAACCCAGCTTAGAAAAAACACTACTTTTAAGACAGAAAACTTGATACTAAGCTATCCAAGAGCGATGAGGATGTCTCTCTCCCCAGCTTCTGTCACAAGCACTTTCAGAGCTGTAGGTGCAAGTGATGGGCTTTTCAACAGCCTGATAAGTGTCTGTGTGACAAGGCAAGCCCTTCCACTGCAAGCCACATGCCCACTGAAGATGGTTTGTGTGCTCACTTTGAGTAAACAGCTGGCTCCAGCTGCAGCTCAGTTCACCAAGAACCATGGTTCAGGAAACATGACTGAGTCACAGACACATGGCTGAGTGCGTTTCATCATCTGTCCCGAACACCCAGAAACCCAAAGGAGGCAGAAGGCCAAAAAAGTCCCATTCACCTTCAAAAGAATCCTACCCATTGGATAACAGCTTCTGTGCTTGGTTTACACACCAACAGCAGGGACACTTTAATGGACAAGTCATCTTCCTCACTCGCTCAGGATGCTGTGGACTCCTTCTGTTCTTTCAGGAAATGAAGTGACTGGGGAAAATGCTGGTACTTGGCCAAGGGCCCAAACAAGTCTCAAAGCAAAAGCACAGCTCCATTTTCAAGCCTGGAGTGTCTCTGGGCTCCAGCACGCGAGCAGCTATACTCATAGCAGGGAAAACCTGATGAATTCCAGCTCTGGGTGCTCGTGGAGGGAGACAGGATGGGTCTGACAGTTGTTTCCCTCCCTGCTCCTCAAAAGAAAACAGCATTTGGGTCTTTCTCCAGCATTTTCCTCTGCTATAGATGTTGTCCATTTTTCTCAGTCCTGAAAAACCCTCTTGCCTATCTAAGCCACAAATCCTCCCAGATAGAGTACAAATAACATCCACTGGATGCTTCAGTACAACCCCCATCCAGCCTGGATAATACCCACATTGACACAAGCAGGCCTGAAAGCTCTTCAGATGGGAAGGCAGCTTGAATCCAGCTGGGGATGGATGAGGAAAAGCAGTGAACGACCAAGCTCCCACTAACAGAAGGCTGCCTGGGAAAGGACTAAAGCCTGTGCTCTTCACAAAGAGTTAAGACACAGGACAAGGAGGTGACACTGAGCAAATGCACAGCGATTCAAGCAAGCATTGCAGTGCTGGCACACCACAGACGCTACAGGTATGAACAGACAAGTTACAACCCCAGAATGGGTTATTAAAATAGGAGAGCAGGTGCTTTCAGATCTGTTCTAACTCTTATTCCATTACTGTGTTCAGCTTGGACAGCACAGAGAAATGCAAAAACCTAACACGGGAGATGTCGGTGAAATCTGTAGCCTTTAAAGCAGAAGTAGCTCTCTTTGAGTGGAAAAAACCTGATCCACTGCAACTCCCAGGGCCTCTCAGGATGCAGCAAGGTATCTCTAAGCAAAATGAGCTGGAATAATACAGGCAGTTGCTGCCCCCCAGCTGGTAATAACTGACCTGCTAGTGGGAAACACTAAGTGTTAGAGCCAGGCTAGTTTAAAACGCTGGGGGAAGCAGTCTAAGCTGACCTGGCTAGTGCTGCATGAATACAAATTAGGGAGCACTCATGGTAAACCCTGGCAACAAGGTCATAATAGTCAGGAAGGGAAAAACGGAGGAAATGGGCAATTGCATCTTAAATCACACTTGCTTTTCCCAGAGTAATACAACATGTCTCTAGAGAAAAGGGGCATGAGACATCAAAAGTGTGGGGTTGTGGCTAAACTATTAACTGAGGGAACAGCACAAAATGCCATTTGAGAGCCACCAAAAAGAGCACATTTGGAGCAAACACACAGGTAGCAATCTACAAAGGAATCCCTCATCCTACAGGACAGCTTGGATGTGCCTCTTCTTCCCACCCAGCTCCAGAACAAGGCAGGACTGCTAACCTAAAATTTCCTATCAATTCCTGCTGTACTGCTGCTTGTCTGTCAATGACATTAATGACACCATCTTTGCTTTGTGGCTACCTGTGCTTTCTTTAGCACAGGTAAGTCTGCATCATCCACTCCACTCAGTGTGTGTGAAAACTACATCCCAAGCACCAGTGAGTTAGTAACTTGACTTGGCAAAACTCTGCAGACCTAAAGGAGCATTAGAGACAGCTCAACACCCCCTCTGAAACACAAGCTGTAGTGACTTTCTTAACTGGTGTTAAGAAAGGAAATACTCATCAGTATTTCCCCCCAGTTCCTGCTGAACAGTGAGTGTTAAACTCCAGCATTTTAATACTCTTCCCTCAACACAACATCAGGAGGGAAAGAAGTTCACCCAAAGGAGCTTCTTGACTGAAGAAGGTAAATCACAACCTCTGAAACACCAGGAGAATGTTTCCTAGAGATGGAGATGGTGCTTTAAAGGATTCACTGTGCAGGGAGGGACTTAGTATGGGAATCCTCAGCAGGTTTCACTGAGAAGGTCTGTGGATTAAATGCATCTTAACTGGATCACAAGAAAGCTTTTTGCCAGTCCAGAGCTTATTCAAACTTGCTTCTGGGAGCCCTTAACAGGGTATCTGATGATTTCCTTCTGAGAAAGGAGCAATCTGTGAGGAGCAGAGGGAGTGCTCCCTTTCTGTGAACAGAGACCCACGATTTTCTAACTCAAAGCACTTCAAAAAGAGACTCAGCATAACTCAGTGTCTGCCCTACTCTCATTGCCACTCTGAAGAGCTAGAATACCCCCTTAACGTGCAACAGCATGAACTGACTAACCGGCACCCTCTACACTACCCCAAGGTCCGCCCCAAAATAATCTGCTTAAAGCCACGTCACACTCCATGCAGCATCTTGTGTGTGCTTAGTGCAGGAAGCATCAACCAGCAGGAGGTACGTACGGCAGGTGTAAACATCTCTGTACTCCATGTGCTCGTAGTCGGGAAGGATTTTCATAAAACGCCCCGACTTCACTCGTGGGTTTATACCTGAACAGACACAGCAGGGTAAGTACCAGCAAACTCTGCTCCACTGTAACCAGCACTGTTAACAGCATGATGAACCTGGACCAACCACGCAGAAAAGTCAAACTCTTTTTCGACTTCACTTCCAGTTGTGGGGCACCATTTGTTTGCGTCAGCCCAGTCTCAGGTATACCTGATTAGGAGGATTACTCACACAGAGCTTGGTATGCTCAAGATTCCCCACAGACAACACGTATAAATGGCATCCAGTGAATTCAAAGTGGAATCAGGGTCTTCTTCAAACTCTGTTGTGGGACTATAACGAGCCGTGCTGACTCACGAAGACACTTAGGCCAAGTAAGTACATGGACAGTAGCCCAGGCCTTGAATTAGTTATGCTTTCTGTAACTTAAAACTCAGTTCCCCATTTCCCACACTGCTTCTTAGAGAAACACATTCAGTGGACAGAAAAGTGTATGTGAGCCCTGCCAGTAGCCCCAAATTAACTCTTCTGCAATTAGAGAAAGGTTTATGAGACAGTAGAGAAAATGAGGTCAGACCACCAGGAAACTTCCACTGAGAGCCTGCAAGAGGGCAAACTGTTGCATCTGAACAGGAGAGAAGAGATGGTGCACCCCTGAAAGCCAGAAACTGTGGGCAAGTATTCTCACTTTAGATTTACCATTGCTAGCTAGGACTGTTGAATGGATATGGACACAGTCCTTACTCAGAACTCCAATAAAGTCTGTCACAGAGGTTCTCGCATGTCAAGTGCTGCTCTCTGCCAATGAATGCAGAAACTACTTTAGTATAAAGGAAGACTGAAAACATGTGTAACACAAATCCTGTCTGATTTTCCTGTGGATGCTCAGCAAATCTACTAAAGGTGGGATTAAAACCCTTCTGCCCGTTGTTTTTTCCAGTATTAAGATCAATGCTTGAGGTCATCACTATTCCAAGGTTTAACAAATACAGTACATGTAGAAGCTGAGCCAGATTTTGAGTATGCAAATCTACGGAGACATCTCATGACTGATCTCTCTGCTTTTGTTTCATAAAGCAGAACCTTCTTCAAACAGCCAGAAGCCATAGCTCAAGTGCTTCAGGTCATGCCTTATTTTTTATCCTAAGGACCACCGGTAAGTCAGCTCTTTATAGGATCTGTGATGGGGAATCAAGACAACACAGCTTGGCAGTGCTGGTATGGGAGCTCTCAGGGGCTTTGCAAGGCTCTCTGAGCAACCAGCCCAGCTTCTGACTGCAAAGTGCAAGGTTTGGTTACAGGGGAGACAGCCTCACCATGGACCCAGGCCTTCACTCAGCCCTTAGCCTACCTTGGTTTCTCTCACCTGATGATGCCCCCAGCCCTCCTTACTGTAAGACAGAAGATGTGCACCTGCCTCGCATAAGGCACAGTGGGTGTAAGGATTTGGGGTTCTACTATTTTACTATTCCTAAAACTCACTAACACCTCTCAGAGGCCCAGCCCTGCTAAGCTCTCCTCCTTCAGGAGCAGCTCAGAGGAATGCTCATTCCTTTACCTACTGTGCTTTCCCACTTGACAGCATCTAACAACGTCTTCTCACTGAGATCAAGACTTAGCTACATCAGGGCTACGAAAAAATACCAGTTAATTCCTTAGCAAGATCTGAAAATGGCAAAACAGGAAAGGATGAAAAAACTCCAACACACTTTGTAATAAGGTTAAATTACACTCTCTTTTCCCGTCAAGGGATTGAGGGGCATAGACATCCCACTTCTTGGCATCTGCTTAAAAATAAAACTCCAGACGTATCAACTTCACAGATGAACCCCTGCCATCAGCAAGTAAGTCCAAATAACTTATGCTGTCGGCATTTAATAAATATTCAACACATATATGCTTTTAAAACTGGTACTAAGCAAGGACATATGGATCTAAAGCAGCTTTATCACTTACGCTTGGCATAAACATCTCGACAGGACACTCCTGTGATCTCCAACTTCCGCAGGTTTTCACAGACCCCATATTCTGCAATGACACAGATAACAATGTCAGCTCTGGCACAAAGGCGTTTGCTACCCAGGATCTTGAGATCCACTGTTCGAGAAAAAACAAGATCTTATTAGGTGCCTATTATCTTGCAAGAATAATCTTATTATGCTTGCAAGCTGCTGCATTAGTCCAAGAATCTTATTTCTGCTTTGAAGAGAAAACAGAAAATTAGATGTAATTTCACTAAAGTTTGGAAATCTAATACATTTTACAAGCAATGTCTGCAACAATAAACACAGCATCAGGAACATACAAACACACCAAAGTTACAGGTGCTTATACCTAGACCACAAAGAATGTGAAATGTGGAAGACCTACTCATTCCAGCTGGGGCTGTACACCCATTTAGATCAAATCATCACTCTGTGTAGTAATTATCTACTCCCACTGAGGTACCCAACAGGGAAAACTGCTTATTAGGATCCTACAGAAAAGGTCACACAGGCTTTAAAAAGAATGAAACGGAGACATAAGACAGGCATCAGCATGTACAAAAACGGTTACACTTGAAAGCAGATCAGATTGAGATGGGTCTGTTGTACATTCAAATGCCTTTGATTGCTTACAGAACACCCTGAAAACAAAGCAATACAGAGATCTTATAGGCAGCTTTGAAGCAGAAAATGAGATTCTCCTCTTTCATTTTCAGGAAGTACATGCTGAACTTCTGAGAAACCTTAAAAAAAAAAAAAAAAAAAGCAAGTGCTAACATCTCAATACAAGAAACCTTTAGAAGACCAGAGGGAGGAAATGAAAGCAGGGAGATCCCAAAAAATCATCAGCAACGAAAACCACCATGCTGCAGTGACCCTGATAGATCTCAGTACAGAAAAATACACTCCTTGACATCAAAGACATCTACACCACAGATCAAACACCAGCCTTCCTTAGCAGTACCAAACATCTGCCAAATATGTGATTAAAGTGTATCTGTGAAGACCCTTATCCAGTCATTAAATATTAAACTTATCCGCAGTAGAGCTTCCGTGAATTAACAATTTACTGTGGCTGTCAAATACCACTACTGAATGCTGGTAACCTACTGCAAACTGAGAATTCATTTTTCATATACAAGAAAACCAGAAGTTTCCCTGAATGAATCCAACCTCCTCCATTCTATAAATACACTTGTGGTACATGTACATGATGAGACAGCACATGCAAAGCTTACTGTCAGCCTGCCTACAGGGAGCACATATTCTGCAGAACATCGCTTTGGGTAAGCAAGTTCAACGAAGAGTAGGCAGAAGGTACAACAAACACATTGCCCTTCGTTAAAAGATGCAAAGGTCAGTGGGAGAGCTCCTGCTGACTTCCTTTGCAAAATCCAGAGGAAGCTCAAAGCGTTATCAAACACAAGGTGGGATGAGGAAGCAACATCAGCCAGGAGCAGACAGACAAGCTTGCAGGAAAGGACTTCCAGCACAAACAAGCTATGTAATGCTGGGCTGCAGCCAGCTGACCTGAGACAGCTCATTCTGCAGATGGGTGAAACCAGAGCTCTGCTGGAGACTGGAAATTCAGACCCAGGCAGCAGCTCGCCCAGCCCTCCTGCCAGAGCTATCAAGGCTTTCAACCACTGGTGTGCATTATGTGCACAAGTGGGTATGTGTTTGCTAATGGAGAGAACAGCATGTCTCCTCAGCCAAGCTGAAAGTCAGAGATCTTTATGACAGAAACAGGGTGGTCACAGCCTGCTGTTTGCAAACATGCAACTCTTTGCATGTAAACAAATACTCACCTGGCCACAGAACCAGTAAGATGCAGGCTTTGTGCAGCAGGCATTGCAGCTAGATTAAATTCAGTATCACTGAGGATATCTGTGCTGCATCAGAAAGGGAGGAGACATGCAGAGGGTCCTGCCCAAATGGCATTTCTCTGTGTTGCTCTAACAGCAGTACTAGCACAGTCATATTGTCTCTTCCTTCAGAAAGTGCTAATTTTTCAGTTTTCCCTACTAGGTCTATAAATTTGAGTGGACTGCCACAGTAATCTGTTACCAGCAGGTATCTTAAAACAACAGGGTGGGGTGGGAAGTGATTGATGTTAAAGCTCTATCCCAGTTTTATGCAAGTGCCCCTGATAACCTGCAGTGAAATACTAATTTCATGAAAGCCAAACCACTACTAAAGGTGCATTTCTAACTGCTGGAGTTTGTATCTTTCCTGAAGAGAGTCAAAGTTCTTCCAATAGCAAGCTCATTAAATTAAAAAAAAAAAAGATAAAAACTTAGAATTTAGATATGCTGCATGTGATGTGATGTTAGACTCTAAGGCTTGTAAGAAAGTATTATCAGAATAGAGAAAAATAATCAAGAATAAAGAAAATAACCTAATTTTTGTGTGCTTTAATACATCTCATTTTCTGACAACTAGTCCGTATCCTGTTTTGTACAGCAAACAACTACAAAGAGTCAAAATCCCATAGCGATGGCTAAGCGCTGGTTAAGCCCATCACTTCAGCTTCTCTGATCCATGAGATGTGAACACCACAATGGCCTCTTGATGAGACAAAATAGTCCTTTGGCTCACGGTGCCTACAAAGCCTCCAAATACCACAAGCAATAAACGCAAACACCTCTTTAATCCATACATAAAACTAAGTAGAACTTTGATATAGCTACAGTAAAATAAAATGGATGTTTTCTTAACAGAGAACAGAAAGCCTTTTCCAAGAAAGCTTTGAAGGGCTCAAGCTTCCTAGGAAATTCCACTTCAGTGCAATTAAACCTATTTTCAGGAAACACATCTCAGTGCAACAGCTACCTGAGTAAAGTATTCTAGAGGGTTAATAGTCACAGAAATCCACACATGAAATTTAGACTGTTAGAAAATGGCTACTTAATCCTACTTCAAAAGAAAGGCTGGAAATTGGGTTTAAACTTCTTCCTTGACCAGCTGGAAAGCCTGTTTTATTAGATTTGCAAGAAATGCTTGAAAGATTTACCAAACACAGAGCGACACAGTGCTGTTTCCACGGTCACATGCACTAGAATTTAAAGGACTTGCTAAGGCAGCTCTCCATTTATTAGGAACTGCACTAATGCAATTTACTCCCTGGCCTGCCTCTCACCATCTGCTCTTTTGAGCCTCATGTTCCCATCTCCTCTCTAGAAGCCATGCCATACATCTCCTTCTGTGTGGCTTGCACTGAAGCTTAAAAAAAGCAAACAAACAAACCAGGTTCTTCCAGCCCAAGTAGGGAAGAACCCCCATACTCTTATCAAAGACCAAATTACTGCTTTTCCTCTCCATCTTTCTCAGCATAGCAATGCTAGTCAGCAGCTTCAAGCACTCAATGTGGACATCCGCAATTCAGAGGAAGTGAGGATGTCTGGAAGAGCTTGAAACCCTTATCACTGCTATGTTTGAACTGTACCCTGCCTAATCAAGTCCTCCAATTACTCCTGGGTAATTGTGTGTTTACAAGGCTGTGCACAGAACAGAAAGCACAGAAAATGACTGGATTATTTCAGAGAACACAAAAATAGAAGATTCTCAGGCGAACACCCCCTAAATACCAGGTGGACAAGCTTGGAACCAACTTCTTGTTTCCAAAGGCTGAACTATCAGATTGAAATACACCAAATAGTTTCCCAAACACTTCTCCCAAGGGAAGGCCTGTAGTTACCACTGAGGTATTTTGCAGCCACAGATAAGAAGATCTGATCTGCAACAAATGAAAGCATTTGTGGAAACCCTGAAGCAAAAGATGGGTAGCTCTAGGTCTACAGCTTACAAGCTGACCCAAGGAAGACTCTCTGAAGGATGGCTACAGCTAGTGAGCACCTGCTATTAGCAGTGAGAAACAGCAAACCATTCCCAAGTTGTATTCTAAAAGCCAAAGAAAATGGTCAGAGATGAAGAAAAGCCCATGATGGTTCACTAGAGAAACACGTAATACAGTGTTTTAACCTCATATAAAGGGAGATTAGAGCCCTGAGACTTATTAAAATCACCTTTGCGCTTACTAGGCTGTAGCACTACAGGAAATTGTTCCTGTTGTGGGAGCAGCTGTACATCAAACTCCTATGTGGATTCTCTGGAGTCCTGTAAGAGCTGAGCTCCATGCATCAGCTCCCTCACTGATTGTATAAACAAGATTTCCCACTCTTCTCCACAGGCACCTCCTTCTGTACAACCTACTGGAGGTTAGCATCTTCAAACATTGGCTGGCATTTTTCATCAGGTCCAAGAACTGCTGGAGGTCGTTCTCACAAACAAAAGCCTTTTCATTCAAGTTCCAGATCTGGTTATTCTGAATTACTGGCCTGTTTCCAGGTGTTCTGCTGCACCTGTGGTGTTTTATTTTAAGATGAAAGTGATTACCATTTAAAATAGACTATCAGGTGTTAATCAAGGTAGGTCAGGCCACCAGCCAGGGTGAAAGAAGCCTTAATTCTGCTCCCACTGCAGAGATCAGCAATCTCCTATTTATAGAAAACATGAAAGTGACTGCAATCCTCTTCTTGCCAAAGAAGCAATAGAGACATTGTTTACATCAAACAGTTGCAATGATAAAAGGACAACAGCCCTAAAAAGCCATGCCAGTGTTTCACAACCACTTCTGGTTAATCCCAGCACTCTTCCAGTTCAAAATCACCAGCAAAAGCCACCCTGCTTTCAGGAGGACAAGTCCTCTGAATGCCTGCACTAACCAGAAGATGTTCTCAAGTTGAATCTACAGCTGAGTCAGTACTGCAAGAACAAGACACCAACACTCAATGGCTGACTGAGGCAATGGCTGGGCTTCTCTCAGGGAACTGTTGCATTTAATTTTAGAATCATCTTTCTTGTTTCTTTACTGCTGTGTATTTCTGAAAAAGCAGATTGTTTTGCACATGCAACTGACACAAAGTTGAAGTTTACTAGTTACCACCTCAGAGCACTCAGCTCTGGAACACCATCAGTAGGCTTCAGAGTAAATAAGACATCAATGCAAGGAGCACACCAGGAGAGGTGCACATGCTCTCATTCTGTTTCTAGGACACGCAGCTTCACAAGAAGACTCAGGCAGATACAAGCACAAGTTGCCCTCAGCTGGGAAGTGGCTTGTTTTTGGGAAAGATAAATTCCGTTTCACGTTTGACTATCATACAGTTAACCAGTGTAGGGTTATACAGAAACACAGTACAGGATGTTCTAAATTTTACACGTGCATTTATATACCTGATGCCCATGCAGGTCCTCAAGTAGTTGCACACTCACATTTGAATACACTCAGTAGCTGACCATGTGCAACAGATCACTAAAACACACACAGATAACTGCAAAACAGCTCCATAAAATGACAGATTTTGTATGTGTACAAATACTCATAGTGACAGCACTACCACAATGGTGATTACTCACACTGCTGTGTAGAGCACTATGAGCAGTGCAAGTCCTTATGAACTGCTTGGAGAACTATGAGTGCCCAAAACAGTGCAGTAACCGTTTCATACATTAGAACTTGCTTTATGCACCTCTCACCTTGTATCTAGCCAAGGACCTTGAGACAAAAGTGTAGTCTAAAAGCTTTTCCTTCCTGTCTGGTTCAGTTTCAGCCATATAAAGCCCACTTAGCTTTTGAACATTCCTTTATCTACTTGCAAGAAAATACAAGGAGCAGTGACAAATTCTGTAAGCAAATTTATTTCTCAATCAGGCCGAACTTAATGGGTCCTTTTGAAGACAATCTGGCTTATATTGAGAAGTTGTATACATTTCTCTGTAAACATATTGCCAGGATCATAACCTATTAAAATAAGTAATCAGTGAAGTTTGTAAACCATTCATAAAACACATGTTCATGAGGATTCTACGTTAGCAGAGGAGAATAAGGAAAGAATGAATACTATTTTATTAGACTGTCTCCAAAAAACAATGTTAAGTTACTGGGACAACAGGATCATCCCATGCTGAAGTAAGGAACAAGAATGCTTTCGTGTACATTTTCTAGGTACAGCCTTTGTACTGTCCAAGGGTTCCTGGATAGTGCTGATAAGGCAAGAATTCATTCCTTCAAGGATGAATGCATCTGAACTGATCCCACTGCTGATGGCAGGCAGCCACTCTGCCATATCTAAATTCTTCATCTTGATGCCCTCACTGGTATTAAAAACAGAAAACAACAACAACAAAATATACATGACTTCATGTGCTGGCAGCAGATGCACCTGGCAGGATCATACTATTTAGAGAGATGATGAGCACAGTAGGACAGCCGCTGGATTAGCAAACAGGGAACAGAGAGCCACAATGTCGTCAGAAAAAGCACAAGGAGGAAAGAGTAAGAATTTCAGTCTAACAGAGCCACAGCAGCACAGAACTGAGACGCTGTACCAACAACCCACCCTCAAGCCTTTGCATTACTGCAGCACAGCACCCTTGTAACAGACATCCAATGCACATACAAACTGGGAACCCCCAGAAACCGGGCCCGGTGCTTCCCGTGATGGGACAGGTACGGATGACCTTACCCAGGGCTGCCCTTCTCCATCTAGCTCACTAGTCCCTGCTCCTGCTTTACCCACTGTGCCTCCACGCCTCCAAGGCCCCCAGCTCAGCCCCACTCTGCAGGGACTGATCACTCCCTGTCCTCTCTGCCTGAAATACACCATCCTCAGGATTCACCCAAGGACACCCTACAAGGAGGCATCACCCACCAGGGCCTGGTCCCATCCCCATTCCTCCCATCCAGCTGCCACTCCGGGAAACAACCCCAGCTCGATGCCCTTCGCTACAGCCGCTCACATGTGACTCCTTCTGCAGCAAGGTCCACCAAGTAAGGACCGCACCCCAGAGGACCCGAGATGTACCCTCTTCTCCACCTCCACCCCCAGAGCCCTGCCTGGCGCCTTCACACCTCACACCACAACCCGCAACCCTCAGCTGTTTCCTCCACCCCCAGACCTCCCACACCATCCCCTCCCGTCTCTGCACCACTCCACCACAACCCCATAACACCCGGGTGCTTCTGCATCGCCCGGGACCCTGCCCTTGCACCCCCCGGCCCCCCACCTCAGGGCGGGCGGTACCTTCGCGGCAGCGCCGCCGCCAGATCGTGTCAGTGCGGAGGATGCGGCGGAAGGTGGTGCAGACACGGGCCAGGCTGGGTAGGTCGGTACCGGGCAGGGAGCCGAAGATCTGCACTAGGAGCTCAGGGGGCAGCTCCAGGATGGACAGCGGGGCCCGTCCAGCCGAGCCGGCCTCGGCGGGGTGCGGCAGGGGCCGCCCGCCCTCGATGCGCTCCGCCGCCTCCTCGTCCTCCTCGGAGCCGCCGCCGCCCGCCTCCTCGGGGTCGGTGTCGGTGTCCGGCTCGCTGTCCCCGGCCCCGCCGCGCCGCTGCTCCCGCGCCGCTCCCCGCCGGCGGCACCCGCGGGCCGGGCCCACCCCGCACAGCCGGGCACACACCGCCATAACCACCACCGCTCTGCCCGAAGGGGCGGGGCGTCGTGCCGCGCGGCGCCGCGGGCCACGCCCCCCGGCCGAAGCAGCCAATCAGCACCGTCTCTAAGCCCTCGCCACGCCCCCGCTGACATTGTACCCAGAGCAGTTACAGCCGTCAGTAGGGAGCCGCGATCTCCCCCTAGCGTGCGGGGGGACTGAGCGCCCGGCGAAGGGGCCGGTGCGCGGGGAAGGCCCGGCACCGCAGCCCGCGGCCCGGGCGGCGGTGCTGGGGCCGGGGCCGTGACAGCGACAGCGAGGCCAGCGGCCCAATTCGTTTGGTAGAAAAAGAACCCAAAATGTCATTTTTTCGCCTGCTGAGGGTTAAAAGTGAGGACACCTTCTTTGCCCCGTGTGAGGATCGAACTCACGACCTTCAGATTATGAGACTGACGCGCTACCTACTGCGCTAACGAGGCTCCTCGTCAAAAGCGCTTGCGCCCTGCGCCCTGCCCCCTCCTCCTACTTGCATCCCCCTGGGACTCTCTCCTGTGCCCCCTGCCCGTTCACGTTTCTCCGTGGGGTGTTGCACGGGAAACCTCCCTTCTTTGCTTCTTTCTTCGCAGTAAAACCTGCTTTGTTTTTTGCCCCTAACACATTCTTTCCCCATGTTTTCCTGCAAGACCTGACATATTTTGCAAATGGCTCCTCTTTCCCATGCTGTTCTGCAAGAAAGACCTTGGGTTTGGATTTTTGTTTCAGTAAATAGCTATTTTTATCCATGATCTGCAAAACATCTGCATTACTGACTCCTGAGCATCCTCATCCAGGTTTGCTGGCCAGGAACAGGCTGCGAGGGCTGCACTGATAACATGCTCGCAAGGAAATCAAGTTGTTTTCACATAACTGGAAAGATTAAAGCCAGCCTTGTTTGTGTTTCTGCTGTGCAGAGTCGCGGCTCGACTGGGATTTCTGCAGTGAAATGAACTCTGTGCATTCAGTGAAGCGCTCGGCAGAAGAGGCTCCCTTGTGGTGCCACAGAAGTGCTGCCCTGAATCCTAATCGACAGGCCTCACCCTTAGTGGGGGTCTCCAGGCAGCAGTCACCATGACAATCAAGCAACATGTACCTAGATTGGAAGAAGATGGGAAAAGAGACACTTAATTGCTTTGGAAAGTCTCCAGACCTCACCCACGAGCATCACTGCAGGGAAGCTGTTCACCTGCAAAGCAAGCAACTAGCAGAAGATGAAGGAACAGACCTTTAGACATCGGTCCCACCAAACAAGAAGAGACGTCTGGGTCAGCCCAAGGGTTTTGCCAAGGGCCTGGTGGGCAGCTTTTGTTGTCAGGGGGGGCAATACCCTAGTTTTCAAGGATCAGATGGACATTCAGGTGTTGAATTCAGGTTGCAAGGCTGGTGGTATGAACAAAATCACTACAACCACAGGATGAGTAAATCCAAGGCTTCTTACAGCCTGAACCACTGCATTCCTCCCTCCAACACTGCCCACGTGCAGAATGAGGATGGCATTTTTAAGAACGTGCTAATCCTTTGGTGCTTCAGTGATGGACAAGTTTAGTGCCCACAGTTCTCATCACATCAAGAAAAGCTGCTCCAAGCATCTAAACCAAGGCACATGGACAATGAATCACCTAAAACAGACATCAACCATTGGGAAATGTCTATAGCTGTTTTCCACCTGTATTGAATCACATGGTTTTGCCCTCACTATGTTACACTCTGCTGGTAATCAAAAGTTTCTGACACAGCTGTAGAAGGCCTTGTCATATCTGTTCGCTTCATATCTGAAGCGATGGATTCATGGTGAGAACAGGAAAAGTACTGATGGCAAGGATTTTCATGTGAATGAAACAAAAGATGTCCTTGGTGGTATTGCCTCGAGCAGAAACTCAGCAGTCTACAGCACACACAAGCTTTTCCCTCTTTTCCATTTTCTATTTTTATCTGGACTTTCTTCTTTTTCCTTTTCCTCTGAATATTCCTGCTGTGCCACACAACCTTCTCTCCTTTTCCCTCTCCTACCTCTCCCTATAACCTTTTCCCCCAGCCTTGGCTCCATGGACGCTGAGCCACTGCATCCTGCTCCATCACTCAGTGCTCAGACTTTCCCCCTGGCCCACTGACCCCCTTTCCAGCCCAGCCTAGCAGAAGGCAGGACAGCCCATCATAAATCCATGCCAATTCCCACAGAGCTCCACCACCCCCTGCCATTTCCTCCAGATTAAGAAGAGAGGGGAAAGTCCATCTGACTGAAAGGCAGTGCCACTTCCATGATGCACTGATGTCACCTGGCAGGGAGCAGAGCCCAGCAAAGACAAGGCAATGCAACAAGCCCTGTGGGCTCCTAGTACTTGGGGTGACTGCATTTCCCCTTCCCATGGATCAGAGTGGGGGAATGTCAGCTTTTTGTCACATTAGAGAGGAAAAATGATCATTGTCTCCACCCTAAGTTTCACGACCCAAACATAAAAGGTTTTCAATGCTGTTCTTGTGGAGCATCACGCTATAGATAGTTACATGTAGAGAGGTGGAGGCTGGGCACAAGGAAGGTCCCTGGGGAGAGCAGAGCAGGGTTCTTATAATGAACATAACTTATGAATTCACTGATAGCCACCCCATCATCAGATGATAAAACTGGCACTTTCCCCTCTCTGTTACTGAGTCCATTATCTGAACCTACCAGCCTTGTTCTTGATGATTAGCAAAACCAGTAAAAAAGCGTTATCATCATCTTCCATCCTCTGTGGCGCTACCAAGTGTCTGAGCACCCTCCTTTGTAAACATCGCTGGAGTAATAGCCCTGAGCTTTCCAATCCTGCTGTTCCAGGCAGGCAGTTTGCAGCCATTAACAGAGGGCTTAAAAAAAAAAAAACCCAAAACAAAAAAAAGAAAGATGTACCAAAAGGAGAAGATTTTATTGTTATATTTCCCTTCAGCAATTAAGGAGCTGATGTGGCTCCCGCTATAGTCAATTAGTCTCCACGCTCACTCTAAAGGGCTTTGGATTGGTCCCAAAGTTAGTGTCCTCATTTTCTGTAATCCTGGAAGTGTTTATGCCTTCCCAGCCTTTGAGCGGGGATGAGCCAGCTGATGGCATATCCAGCCAATTATAACCTGGACAGCTAGGAGAGAATTATTTATTTTCCATTTGGCAAGAGGGACAGAAAAGTATGGCAAGGGAGGCTGAGACAGATGAACAAACCCTCTTTGCAAGCCCTCTTTGCCACGTGAAGTATTTGCAGCATAGCTTTTTGGGCATAAGCCTGCAGTGAGATTTCTTTGTAATAAGCATTGTTGGAGGCAGGACACTTTGAAGAGAGAGTATTTATATAGAAAGACCAAAGAATTTTCTTTCATTTTTTGTGATGTACCTATTTTTCTCTCAGATATTTTTTTTTTTGCTTTTTTTTTTTTTTTTTAAGCTGGAAAATAGCTCCTCTCATCGTGATTTCAGTGTTTTTCCTTCCTTCTTCCTTTCTGTCTGGACATTGATTTTGCAGGATAAACTGATTAGTGGACAGACTGGGCTCTTCAGGGACAATCCAGAGCACTGCAGAAAATGCTGCAGATGACTCAGGAAGTGTTTTGCATCCTTCTGCTTTAGAGCTGAGCCCGGTGTCTTCTCGTTATGAAAGAGATTATGGTCTTTCTTGAACACACTGTCCTTGCAATGTGGTATTAGCCAATCCTAACGATCAGCTGTGGTCATGAGTAGCTGGGCTCACCAAAGACTTTCTAGCACTCCTGCTAGAAGCAGTTGTTGTTCTTTCAGCTCTGGCCATGGTCCAGCCTGAACGATTTCATTGTGCCCGGCACTTCTGGTAGCTCAGTTCACAGAAGCATTATCCTGTTCAGGACAGATCACAGGACAAGCAGTCAGGTGTCTGAGATGCTATTACTGGGTCTGCTGCTGAGCAATGGTTGTGCAATCACAGGCAGCTCACTGAACCTCCGTGCGGCTCAGTTTCTCACAATGTAAATAAGGAGGGTGTTTACTGAAGCCACAGGCGGTGTAGTACTCAGTATTTGAATGTGTGTGGAATTGCTTAAATCCTAGGAGTATTAAAAATCAGTGGAAAACTTTGTTGCATACTGTATTATCCCACAATTTCCCTGCTATGCCTTCCACACTCATGCGGTTGTTACTGTTTGCCAAGAGGTTATGGATCTGTTTGAGCGACAGGTAGTACATAAACATAAGTTGTTATTGCTTACACCAACCAATCTACTGTGTTTCCTTGTGAAACAAATGGCTCCCATTTAAAAGGGGATCCTGAAGCCAAGAAGTGTTTGCTGGAACAGCAATAGCAGCTGTACCTGATGTCAGGGCTGTGGCACGTGGCAATGATCTCTTAGGCAATGCTTCTTGCAGGGGGAGTGCAATGAGTTTTGGCCAAACATTCTAAGAAAACTGTGGTTTTGTGATGACATTGAGCCACTCTGTGTGCTAGTTTGGGTTTACCATCCAAAAAAGCATCTATTAATCTCAAAAGTGTTATATTCCAGAAGTTTCATGAAATATGTAGCCAGATAGAGGAGAGAGTCATGGGGAACAGCTTAGATAAGGGATGCCTTATCTGCTGTCAGACCTCAGAGAAAACTCACATATGGAAAATGTTCTGCAACTTGTTTCTTTAGCTTCACTTTTCTCAAATTACATTTTTATATCCCCCCAAAAGACAGATATTTTGTCATTCTCATCACTTCTTTGATAGAGTTCTCCTAACTCCAAAGGTGACTTCTGTAGAAAAATATGAAGTTTGGGAATTTGTTCATAAGGGTAGTCACCATCTTAGGACAAATTTAAGATTAAAACTTCTCAGAAGAGTTATTTTAAGGCATTGCAAACAATTCAGTACAATCTTACTCTGTCTCTAAATCTTCAATAGTAGTGGGTAATGGCTGCACACTGTGTTAAAAAATCAAGGCCCACATTGATCTTTACCTGAGCTAGATCAATAAGAACAATTCATGAGAAAATAACTGAATGAAGGTATTTTGATTCAAATTTAAAT